ATCTGGGGGGGAACAGTGGTAGAAGGGATGAAGAGTGGTAGAAATGATGAAGAAGGATGTGGAGGGTTTAAAAGAGACCTGGTGAAAGCTTTAATTGAAAAAAGAGAAAGATGGTAGGTTTAATTAACATTAAGATTCTGGTGTTATAAGTGAAACTGGAACTATGTGAGTAGATGTGGTCTTTCAGACCAGGGGATGGTGATTCCAGGGCTTTGGGGTTAAGAAAGAAAGAAAAAAGGGTCACAAGAGGCTATCTTTAAATAGGACTATAGTGTAGGAGCAGAACTCGCATACCTTTCTCAATTATCTTCCCTTTTTTTTTTGTCTCCCTTGTCTGAAATAGAGCAGCCTCATGTCAAAGCCTTTTTTCATCTTTTGTTTCTTTATTGCTTCATACAAATCATTGCAGTGTTTTCTTTCTAAGTTTCTTCCCTTTAATGGTGAGTAAATTCAGATGATGTAGAGATGCTTAAGTGCATATGACCTGGGTTTTCTTTAGTGGATGGCTGTGGATTGAGATAAACCAGAGTGAGTAATGTTCCAGTTTGTTGTTTTAATATGGTGTGAACCATAAAAAAAATATTCCTTTTATACTAGTGAATTTTCAGAGCTAAATTTCCTGACAGAACTATAAATTTCTGTGAATAGCCCCAATTTTTTTCAAGAGACAGACATATAGCATCTGTCTATTTTCACTGTCCTAGCCCTCTCTACTTTAATTAACCCATGTGCTAAATTAAGAACCCCTGTTTCCTTCTGAGGAGCAAATTAGTGTGACATCAGAAACAAACCTTCTTGCTTTCTGACCAAAGAACTGTCAAAGATGAACAAGAATCCTTAACCAAGTATAGAATTCACTTGGAATTGCTAAATGCAAGCCATAGCTGAGCTCAGAAGAGTCTTATTATTGAGGTCATGGTCTGTTCTGTGGTAGACATTAAATACCATTCTATTGCCCCATTTCTGTAAGCTGAGAGGAGCTTAAACCTCATTCTGACCCTTGTCTCTCTGTCCAACTTCACAGAAATTGTGTAACATTACTTTCTCAGTCTGTGTGAGGTAGTTTTGAGGATATTCAGCTGTAAAACTGAAGACACAAGCCTATGTTGGCATTGTCAGATGAAATAGAGCACCAGGGAATCAGACAGGGGAAGGACATCTTCATTCAACAGGTGTAAGGCTATCTGCTAATGATGTTGAGGATTGCAAAAATCTGTTTTAATCACCATGGTGCACTTGTGTTTTGCTTCGTTAATATGCCATTTTTGCAGAATAAATTATGTCACTATGTCTAACGTTCCTCAAGGTCTGTGAGTGACCTTCTCTCCTGGAAGTTTTTGTAATACCATTTTTGAAGAACCTCTATGTGGGTCATATGGGAACAAAAATGAAAACTAAATTTAGCTTTTATTGATGGGATTGGGGCTTGCAAACTCAAATTTTTGCACAGAGTTTTACTGAAACTCATCTTGACTAAGCACTGGACTTTGCTATTGTGCCAAACAAAAGGAGAATATTATAAAGGCAAAATCACTTAGTATGAAAACTTGCTGCTTGGCTTTTTGTATTACTTCTGAGCTTGGTATTGGGTTTTAACATTGGAATTTTATGGCAGAATCAATTCATTATTAAAGAGAAATCTATACTCTGAAAAGAATATTTTAACTAGTGCCCTAGCTAGATAAAATGTCTTTTTTTTTTTTCTTTTTTTTTTCTTTCATTTTTGCTCAAGAACACAAAGTAGAATCATAGAATGTGATGAGTTGGAAAGGCCCCATCAGGATCATTGAGTCCAGCTCCTGGCCCTGCACAGGACATCCCAGGAATCACATCATGTTTCTGAGAACATTGTCCAAACCCTTCTCAGACTCAGGCTTGGTGCTGTGACCATTTCCCTGTACTTACTATTTGGTAAAACGGAAGAGTAGGAAAAATATTACCAGATAGTGTCTGTTCTGAATAACAGTTTTGTTAACTGGAATGCGTTAGGCATCTAATGGACAACCAAACCCAAATTCTACAATAGCAGGAGCTGTGCAGTCATTTGTGTTATTTAGTGCTGGTCCCATAGCCTGGTAAATGTTATGCGGATTTAGAAGTTGGGAGATGTTCTCCCAGTGAAGAGCAAGATTATTTCAGTATTTCAATAGTCAGGACAAATTTCCTTGCCAAGAGGCACCTTGTCCTTGGCAAGGGTCCTTTTAGGAGGAGTTGAATTCCTTATTGCCCAGTGAATTTTCCTTGCTACTTTCTTTGAAAAAGTAAAAAGTTTTAACTCATGACAAATGAAGAAGAGCCAAACTTTTGTGAATATCTTGATGGTATCTGTAACAAAATGTATGTGAACAGCAATGACCCACAACTCTTCCTGCATTATAGCTTAATGCACACCTAAATAATGTAAAGTCAGAAATAAACAGTATGTGTTTGGCTGGGTCAGGTCTGTCATCTCAAATATGATGAGTTTTGGGTTTGGAGATATTGGAAATATGCAAAAACCTGACTGGATATTGTCCTGATCAACCTGCTGGTATTGGCCCTTCTTTGACAAGGACATGACCTCCAGATCATCTTAGCCCTTCTGAGGCAGGGTTAGGTTTTTGGGGGCTCTCAACTTGCCTGAGAAAGAGACAGGAGAAGTGGAAGTTAAGCTAATGTTTTCCAGCAAGACACAAGTTCAGTACAGGAAACACTACTTAAAACCACTGGAAGTGACTGTGACAGATTCAGTCCTATCAGTTGTTTTGTGGGCTCCTGTGTAATTGATTTGTGTGGGTTCCACTAGAAAACGCTGTGTATGTCAGGCAATATTCTAATGTTGGGAAATTTTGGTCACTACTTGTTCAAGGGAGTGATGGGCACTTTTAAATTCTAGCTAAATCAGAACTGCATTTGACATAATTTTATTTTTTTTTTAATTATTTGGTATTAAGAATGTATTTGAAGCATATTCAGAATAACTCCTTACTGTATCTAGATGTGATTGAGTTGGGGATGGAAGATTTCAGAAAGAGGTGCATTCATTTCTGATGTTTGCAACTGGATTATGAGGGTGGTTTCATGTCCTTGTAGTCTCATCTCCAATTTCTTCCTCTTTGAAGGTGGCCATCCTACAACTCTCCATAAAAAAGTTCTGGAAACATGGGCATGCTAATAAGAGCTGTGATATGATTTGTAATTCAAACTGTTGAAAAAGAACAAGCCAGGCTTTTAAGGAATCTAACCAAAGTTTTATGAAGTTCTATAACAGGATTATTGGCAAAAGTTACCCTAAACCTAAAGTATTAGAGTAAAATAGTTTATTTTTAATTGTTTTAAAAAGGGCACTTAATTTTTAGAGCACTAGTTATTTCAGAAAGTTTGTAAACAAGGTAGGTGGAATGTTTTAGAATAAAATATTCTCTAAAGACATTTAAAAATCTAGTTGTGTTTTCAACATTTTACAGCTTGTTTGCTGATTTCCAACTCCATTACTGCAATGTAGCTAAGTTAAATGTTACTAAATAGAATAATGTCTTCAAAGTTGTGGAGAGTGTCATTGGTAATTGCAGCTTAGTGATACCTACGTTGTTGACAGATTTGGGGGAGTAAGAGAACATACAGGAGGAGCTGTGCCTGTTCTGGTTTGGGTCGTGGGATTTTTTGCCAGGCCAGGAAATTGTGTGATAATGACCATGGGTTTACTTTATCACAATTCATGTGGGTTTTCTTAACATTGCTTAAGAGTACCAATCTTCAGTCTTTTAATGGGTTCACTTTACAAATGTGCTTGATATTCTGAAATGGCTCTAAAAGTTTCCATGTGAACCCTCTAGGATGAACTGAATTAATAGTATATACTGCACTAATCTGAGAGTCAAAACATGTACAAATCTCTTTTACCCTGGAATTTTGTAATAATGATTTACTTAAAGTTTACAAATTATATTCATATTACTGGAGTTGATAATTAACACTATTGACAAGTACAAAACCAGTGTGGAAATGCTTGATGTACTTGTATATAAGAGAGGAGTGTTCTCTGAGTTCCTATTACAGCTTTCCTACATCTGGTTTGTATCATTCACAGTAGAAGTGGTAGATGTTGGAGGCATTTATATGAAAATTTATTCTCTTTACCTAAAGACAGAATTGAAGAACTTGTTTGACTTCATTTAATTTTAAAATTCCTCTACTGAGTATAGAAAGAAGCTTTACCTGCTGCCATTTAAGGAAATCTAGCAGTGAGGTGCTGAATGAAACACATCATTTCATTCTCCCGAAGCAGAGGAGCATATTTTGAGCTGTTTGCTACAATGCTTGTTTGACTTCCTGGGTGTGATTGTATCCATATGAATTTGTGTACTCTAATTTGAAAATGTTTTGAATACTGTAGACAGCAAGATCAAAGAGCTTTCCAAAAAGAGCAAGAAACTAAAAGGTCATAATTCTTTTTTTAACCACTGGGTCCCAGCTAGAGCCTTACACAGGTAAACAAAAGCAGAAAAATTGGGTAGCTTAGAGCAGTTGGAAAGGGAGAATTCATATTTAGAGATGTCCATGTAATAAAATGTCAGCTGTAAAAGCAGACCTAAGAGAATGCCAGGGAGTGTACATCTTGTCAAATTCCTTAGAGAGAAGAAAATATATTCAGAGATAAGAGTGGCAAAGCAAGAGAAGATTGTTTCATTCTTCCCATGCTCACCTTAAGGACTGGTTCCCACTTACTGTGTTGTAAGAAAAAACCTTTTCCCTGTGTAAGCTAATTTTGCAGAGCTTTGAAAGCTTGATTGGCTTTGCTGCATTCACAGTAGGTCACTTCTACATTTCATTGTTCTGGGAAGCATGGAGCATGACAGTCAGATGCTTCAGAGAGAGTTACAGGGTGGCAAACTGCTGAGAGCCTCTGGGAGCAGATGTTGAACCCCAGGCCCAAAATCTGAAGTTCTTTACAATTTGGAGCCTTCTAATAAAGAAAAGTGCCTTTGTTAAGTGGTTATTTTTTCCTTATCTATTCTCAGGGTTGCTCTTGTGGAAAATATTCCTGAAGGGATCAACTATTCAGACAGTGCACCATCCCATTTGTCTCTTTTCCAAGGCTGGATGAATTTGCTTAATATGGCTGAAAAGTCTGTTGACATAGTATCTTCCCAGTGGGACCTCAATCACAGTCATCCATCAGCATGCCAGGTATGTTCTAGCCTAACAAAAGAGTGGGACCTTAACAGTCTGTTCTTGTTGTCAAACTTAATTTTACAGGACTAAAACCCTTCCCTGTAGCAGAACTATTTGTTTGGGTAGTCTAAAAATCATTTTCTTACAGGGATTTTCCTGCCAATACAAAAGTTTCTAAGAGCAGTGGTGTGCTTGGACCAGATAACATTCAACATATACTTACAGCACTTCCATCTTAGGAAAGAAAGACACTGTGTAACCTTAAGAAAGCTGTCAAGTTGTATCTATATTAGCACATCTACCTATTTGGTAATATTCATAAATCTGTACAATTATTTTTTATTTGGTGCTACTGATGAAATAAAAGGCAAGCGTGTGAATTAATTCTCCAGGAAAATAGATGGATAGAATTACACTTATAAAGAACAATATTGTATCAGATGATTCATAGCTTTTCAAAATTAGTCTTGGGAGGGAGTGGTGTTCAAGATTTCTGCAATTAAAAACAGCATGAAAAATCATAAATCATAGTGAATAAGGCAGATATGCATTGCAGTGATGCTGTGCCAACAAACACTTCATTCTTGAGAGCAATCCTCTTAGAAATATGGTCAGGAAAGGTTTCCATTTAGCATCACTTGTGAAACTAAGATCTCAAAGAAGGGACGGGCTGAGAGTATCTCCTCTTTTCCACTAGATAGATTGTTTGCTGAAAGGAGCCACTCAGCTGGCAAGAAATGGTGCTAAAATGACAGCCAGGTAACTGTAAGGAATCGACTCTGTTACACCGTGGCATAAACTCTTTGCTTTCCTTTCTAGTTCTGTTGATTTGGTGCAGTAAAAAATGCCTTTTGGTAGATGATAGGCAAATCCTGGTATTCTAACCAACTATATTCTGCTTCTTTTGAAATAGACTGTAGCCTAGTTGAGCAGCATACACTAACTTTTCTTCAGAAAAAGTTTGCTGCATGTCCATTTAGAATATAAGGTGAGCAGATGAATAGAAAATGTAATGCAAATCCTACATTTTAGAATGCTTATAAATATTGGAATATGGTTTGTGAATAAATTTATGTGGAATATCAAAATATTGACTTTTTCACAATGTAATTGTGCAGTTAAGCTTTTTTTAAATGTATTGCCTAAGTAGCTTCAAACCCATGTACTGTCATTCAAGCAGATGAATTCAAGGAGATAAGGCCTTAGATGTTTCTAGGATGTGCATGAATTGATATGTGCATGAATCTTTCAAAAATATTTTGTCTGAAAAAAATTCAGCATGTCACTTGCTTCAAAACTGGCAGAGCCTAACAAATCCCAAACAGAGGATATAAAATAGCAAAATTGAAATTGGGATTCCAGTAGTTAAGCATCAAATCCATTCCCTTTTCCACATTAGCATTGCAAAGTAAAAACTGTAGGATACCGTTCAGCAGGGAAAGGAAGAAGAGACGTCTAAGAAGTGGATTTGGTCTTTTGTCCTCAAATGCAGAGTTAAAGCCAGAAAAATGAAACATTTTTCATAATACTCTATCCTAGCTATATTTTTCTGCCTGCTAGTAGTCTTACAAAAATGAGTAATTGCTTCTGTTTAAAGGCAATTAATATTCCAGTCATTTTCTCATTTGTACAGCAGCGTGGGCTGAACAGCTGATAGATCTTTCTGTCAAGCTTGTCTATTCATGCTAAAACACTATATTATTATTGGCCAGTCTGATTGCTAAAAAATTGCCAAGAGGCAGTGTTTCTTAGCAAATTGCTGTCCCAGAGAATGTACACAAAGCTCACTCTGTGAAAGGGAAGGGAGAAAACTTGTGTCATTACATCTGCTTTCTCCACTCAGTGAAGTGGAAGTGAAATTTCAGAGAAACTTCAATAACTATAATCTAATAATTGTTTGAAGAATAAGTTCAATGCCCTCAAGTCTTTATAATTTCAGTTTGGGGAAATTTGCTCAGCATGGCAGAAGCATTATGAAAGGTAAGGGGATGAAACACAAAACTGCCAGGTAGTAGAGTGCTTAGTGAATGAGTTCTAGTTGTTCCTTGAATGAGTCTTGTTTTTTAGAAATTAAAGACATAGCCATTTCCCATACAGACCTGCATCCTGCTATATAATTAGCAATTTCCATTTTATGAATATTCAAATCGTATTGGAGAGCAAGGTTCTCCACATGAGCACTTGAACAGACATGGGTTTTTGAAGGAGAAAAGCAGAGTTGGCTAGATTTCTTTTTCTCAGTTAGTTACAGGGTTCAATTACATTCTCTGTATACATCTGTGTATTCCCATGCATAGATGTGTGAGTACACGTACACACACATATTGGCAATATACACATTGAAGAAAATACAGCAGGAAATTCTGCATCTTTGTATGCACACATACATATATATGCCCAATATATGTGCCATCTGTATGCATACATATTGTCAGTCTTGTCCAAATGTATATTGGATATACATAGATACATATACACTTGCATATATAAAATTGCGGAACTTCCTGCTGAATTTTCTGTATTTTTGTTTGTGGGTACATTACCTGATGTCCTTGACTCTTGCTTGTCTATTTTTTTGTTATAAATCCAAATAAACATTCATTGCCAACTGAGCTGTCCAGGTCACAACAGCCGCGCTCAGTCATCTGAGATGATGAGTTTAGCTAAATTGGATTCTCTAAAGACAGACACATGATGAGACAGTGTTTCTGTTCTTCAACAGATAAAGCACTCAAATAAACAAATATTTGCTTGGCACAGTAGTGAGTTCTCTCTAGGCTGCTTTTCTCATTCAGAAGAAATCCACATATTTTGGCGAGTTTGTGTTGTCATATGTGTGTTTTCAAATAGCAGGCTAGTTGTCATGTAGCAGCATTGAGGTTTTCGTGGAATCTGGGTATGTGGCTCTTCCTGTGGTAATCTCTGTTTAGAGATAGTAGAGGAAAATAGAGACTTTTTTTTGAGGATGGCTTTTGATTAATTTTCAGTGCCAAGAGAAAGGTGAATACAAGATCATGCCAGTTCACAGTTTTCACATTTCATTTCCTCTGGGTCATCTTATGTTTTGAAACTTTAATTTAGAATGACCTTTTAGTTTTCCAGCAAGTCCTTCACAAACTTCAGTTTGTTTTTCACAAATCAGAATCAATGCCATCATGGCTTATTGGTATTGCCATGAGTATGACACGGTTGGCCCTGGATGGATATTTGGATAAACATAAAATAATCAGGGATAGATCTGCATCTGATTTTTACAAGTATCACATAAAAAAATAGATACTTCTGATTTTATTCACCAACCTACTGTGCATCTCCCATATGGCTTGGTGGGAGAAGTCCCCCATCCATCTGATACTCTGTTTCATGTAAGGCAGCTGTCCAGCTTTGTAATGAATCTCAGGTGAGAAGTCATGAGTCACTCACACATGCGTTGCCCAAGGAGCTTAAGTGATTTGTTTGGTAGAACAAATGTTTGTGCGAGGGCTTAAGTTCCCTTCCTTGAAAATGATTTAAAAATACAAATAAATACAAAGAAGAGGATATCTCCCAGTCTAGCAGCTCCCAGTGGAAATTTGATGGGATCAGCTATAGACATCTATAAGCTTATCTTTACATAAACATCTCTCCTCTTCAGGTGGTGGCATTTTCCTGGTACTGACTGAAGCATAGAAAATAAATTCAATGAAAGGAGGGTTTTTAAAATTAAAGCATATTCCTTTCCTTTGCATTTGCTGTTTGGTTGGAAGAATTGAGGAAAGCATTTAAGTTTCTTTCTTCTGTATTAAAGACCAGCTGTAAAAGTTAGGATTTCTTGATTTATTTGCTCTATTGGTTTCTGCCAGCATGCTATGGTTTTTAGTGATGTTTTAGAAATATACCCAGAGGCTTGATTATGGGAAAACTTGGGAAAAAATAGTAGAAATATATACATAAAACCGGAAGAAAAGTCTATGAGATAACCAGGCTTTTTCTGTGGGATTAAAAAGATAAGCATTTTCTAAACTGTAGGAATCTATGTTACTGAAGAATACAATAATGCAATTTGAGAGTCCTTCAGTAAATACAGCATTTTCATGTTTGTATCTCCTCGTGTTATTTCTAATGAGGAACCTATGGTGACAGAGACAAGAGCAGACAAGGGAAATCGGCCAGGCTACAGTCAGCCTGTCTACAGTCTGCCAATAAATTGCTTTGGGGGAAATTTGAGGACCTTTTGGTATTGACAGCTTTGGGGTTATTTTAATTCACCAGTTTTCTGTGGCAGGTACAGTTGGGACTGATGTTTGAGATTTATGTTGGCTTAAAGCCGCCATGCAAAAGTAAATTTTTTCATGTGATAAATACTTACTACATTCTATAAATGAAAATTCTATAAATTTATCGCATTTTCATGTGATAAATGCTTACTACATTACTATTTTGTCACTTTTGATGTTTTTCAAACAGCCCAGTGGAAAGTGTAAGAGAATATATTATCAGGATAAGCAGACTTCTGGTGGTATTGTTTGTTAAAATGCAGATTTTGCTATAAGGTATCCACAGTTTCATAGCACTTGGCTGCTCCTATTTCTCAGTGCTCACAAGCTGGGTATATAGCAATGCTTCTGATCACTGTCACGTAGTGGTGCAGCAGCCTGGTATTGTCTCACAAAGGGAATGTGGTCTGAATGACAGCATTAGGGTTTGTATTCAACAGAAGCATTTCAAATGTTCTGACAGCAGTAACAAAACATTTCAGACCTTCTGTCCCATCTTTTTTCCTTTTCATAGAACAAACCAGTAAAATTGCAAGTAAACATGTCAGAAAGTGTAGAAACTGAGTTTCAAATTAATATTAATGGAGAAGAAGTCTAGGTTCTTCAGCAGTGTGGGAAGAATTTCTAGTAACCCCATTTAGTGGAGTATGTACTTGCTTTTAAAAGCAAGTTGTGAATTTTTCATAGTTTGGTTCATCAAGCTTAAGCCTTGGGGGTATGAATGCCTGCTGAGGCATGATGCAGTGACAGGTGAGACAAAGGGAATTCTTTCCAATTTTGTCACAGGTGGTGGTTTTTATGTAACTATATAAACACAAATATTTGTGGTGAGTGCACTCCTAGTTTTAACCATCACTACTTAGAGATGCTTTAAATGTTGAGTCAGTCTGGGGTTTTACCATTCATAAACATTATTGGAAAAAAAATGCCATAATTGAATAGCTTGTGGTGTCCCTGATGGGAAAACAGATGCATTTTCAGAGGAGATGGTTTCATTGGAATGCAGGGCTACACTCCAAGCAATCCATGAATCCATAGGATGGGCTGTTCAGCAGGCAGCATGGCCTGTAGGAGACAGCTGTGTTGGTTACATCAGGGAAAACTCAGGAGGTGCTGCCAGATTCTTTTTTGTCCAAGCTGCAATTAATACAGAAAGTCCAGGCTTGTTTATCAAAGCTTTTATAAATCATGCGTGAATATAATCTCCTGCAGGTAGAAGTGACAATAATATCCAAAAATAACTGCTGTAGTTCCCTATATAAAATTAGGATCCATCCCCTGAAGCAATTCATTTTATCAGTTTTAAATATTAACTTTCTAAGCATTTCTTTGTCAAAACAGTTAACCCATGAATTTGTTTTGATAATGATAATAATTTTCCATCAAATTTATGAATGCATTTTCCACGTTTAGTTCTGTATGCCAGAGTTTTCTGCTGTTCTTTTAGACAAAATCAGTTTTTGCAGATAACCTAAACAAAAACAGTGTTTATCAGTCTACTTAGTAAATGGAATCGACACAGAGAACCTGAGTAGCTTTTTCTACTTACATTTATATTAGTTAATATGCGTAATGAAAACATATTAATCCTTGAATTTCCCAGCTGACTTTTGCAAAGATGTAGCTAAGGAAAACCAGAAGTGCTGTACCCATATGAAGCATATCCAAAAGCTGCCTGAGCTCTGACACGCCAGGAGACTGATGCTGCAATTATTAAGGATTTTTTTAGCTTGATGAGGTATGTGAGGGAAAGCCACTCCTTAAACTTACAGAGCAACTCAGGACTCTTGGGTGTGTGAGTTAAAATCATGGAGGGTATTTCTTACATATGGAACCACCTAGTAACCTTGGGAAATGCTGAATCTGAGTAAAAGAAGCATTTAGAATTTCATGCAAAGAATGTTTTTCTTTTCTGTTTTTGTTAGCTATTCTTTAATGCTTTCACTATGGCAGTATTGTGTTCACTGCAAAGTTCTTGTGAGCCCTGGGATGAGCAGGGAGCTGTACTATAGATTTAAGTGAGCAAGCAGGCATACATTATAAAAGTAAAACAAGCAGTAGTTCTGTTTCCATTGCAGCCTGTGGCTGATAGGTAGTTTTGAGAAAGCTGTATTTTAGGGAGATGGTATTTTTATTTTGCCACATATATTCAAAGCAAGTGAACATTAGAAAATAGGTCTGTACTTTAGACAGGGGACAGGCTACTTTCTGTGACTGTGTAATGCTTAAAGCCCAGCAAGGATCAAAGTACCAATATGTCTAGGCAATTACAGGGCAAATTTCTAGGCTTTCCACTCTCTGCTGCTAATGGGTTTTTAGAATGTTGGGAGGGCTTTTGTCAGAGGTTTTGTTGGTCCATTCTGCATCATATTATGTCAACCTGAACTGTTCTTGGTTTGCTCATTTTTGTTGAATGGAAGGATCATTTTAAGATTCTTAGTTTGTACAAAGAATTATGTTACATGTTTCTGTGAAAAGCTTTATCTTCTACCTGTATGTTTGAAAGTTGATGTATAGCTATTGCTTTTTTTTTTGTTTTAAGTTTACCCTGGGGCAAACAATGCATTGAATCTAAAGTGAACTGTGTAGGTAGGGCAGGCATTTTGTCAGGTGCATAAGCCCAAAGTCTTTCTGTATTGGACTGCTAATTGAATGTGGTGTCTGCAGTTCTAGGTTAGGACAGCACCAAGGAAGTGAGCTCTGGTTGTAAGTGTAGTAACAATTGTAGTAACAACACAGGAGTTTATTCTTCATATGGTCTAGATGGATGTTACTAAATTTTTTTATTTAATTTAAAATATTCAACCTAAAATTTAAACATTTACAGTGCAATCGGAAGTTTTACTTCTTGTTTGTTTCTTGGATATGGAAAAACATGGTGAATAAAAATTCTATGTTTCATATGAAATTTCTGTTTTGACATGTATTCAGCTCAGTATGACTTTCCTTTTCTTGTTCTGTGTTAGAGATAGGGTTTAAATAGTAAAAGTTTACAGCAGCATAAAAATTAAATGCATGCAAAATACTTATAGATAATTATTTTCCTTCTTGGTATAACTCATCTGAAGATGAGCATATAACTACTTGGGAATGTGTTGTACTGTGATTAGAACCACTTGAAAAAATATCATTCAATACAGAAAAAAATGTAGTAAACTGTTTTCCTTGAGCTTTTAATACTAATTCATCAGACTGTGACTATTTAGAAGAAAGTTAATGTCAAAATGTGCTTATGCAGCATAAAACCCCTGGACACTTCATTTTCTGCCTGACACCTGTCAATATTGCACAATCTGGGAAAAGTAAGAAACCTTATTGGCCTTCAGAACAGTATTTCTCCAAGAAAACAAAATTTGAGTTGCAAAGCTTTAGGGTAGGTTTAATCATATCTAGGAACATAGTTACTCAGATGTTGTATAGAACGTTTTTGTTTTAATGTGCTTTTTTAATTGGTTGATATAGAGTTTGATCAATTCTGTGTCTAAAAGCTTCTGCTTTCCTTTAATGTCCTTTCCAGGGTCAGCGTCTTTTTGAAAAGCTGCTGGAACTGGCGTCCCGAAATATTGAGATAAAGCTCGTGAGCGATAAACTGCCCGTGGAATCCAAGGTATTAAACGACTTGAAAACAAAGGGTAAGACCAAGGTCTTTATGTCGTTCTGCCATTGGCTGCTGCCTGATGTTCCTGCTGTTTAAAATGCAGACTTGGATGGTGCATAAAACGCACACTACTGATATTGCACTATGACCCTGCAATCCTCCGGCTTTCTCGGGCTCACAGATGTCAGAAATCTGAAACTGTTACTGGAGCTGATGTGTGCCGCTCCCAAGCGAATAAAAAGGCAGTGCATTCCAGAGGTGTTTAAATTCCCTGTGGCCATTTTAACAGTAGGCAACGTAACCTGAGAGTCTGGGCTAATACCTTGTGGGACAAGATACTTTTCCTCTTTCGAGCAATAGCAAAGTAAATTAACAAAACAACACGTGTATGGTACTGATGATCCTGAAGCACTGGAAAATAGACCATTGGTCAAATTTAACCAGCTAACAAGGTTCTCTGTGCTATGTATTTTTCTTTGGTCTCTGCTTTCCTAATTGTAATTTTGAGGCTCAAAACCCCCTATCCACAGTGGGATTGCACATTGGCACTGCATGAATGAACTTGCTTTGTGTAAAACTGTGTGGAAAAATAGTAAAGAGAATTCAAGAATTGCTGAAAGAAATTAGTCTCTCTTAGGAGTTCTAGCAATCTCATACACATTTCTCCTCTTAGTTATCTATATCTGATAAAATCATGATTTTTAGGATAAGATACACTTTTCAAAGATCAAAAAGAACATATGTGTTTTGATGGTGATCATTTTTGATGAAGATACCTGTATGGATCACAAAGGAAACTCTAAAGCATTTAATTAGACAAAGGAGTTGTTATGTGTAGTAGCATCCTAACATAACATGACTGTTCATGATGAAGAATAAAGGGCACCCTCTTTCCACAAAAATCAATCTATATTTGTTTAAATTCCTTGTAATCTCTTCACTGCACAAGTAAAAGAATATTACTAATGGAAGTCCTTATCTCTGAGGGATATTGGCTTTTAATCAAGATTGACATGTTATTTAAATTTAATAAACTTAAAATTAATTAAATAACTAATAATTATAGATCCTCATAATTTCATAACACTACCTGTTCCAGGGATTTGATGATTTCTGATACATAACCAGAAGAGATATTGATTCTTTCATAACCAGTAAGAATATATCAAATACTTTGTCAGATATATGTGGAATGTCTTTTTCTGATATGTTCAAAAGAAATTGGTATTTCAATATCAATGTCAGTGAAATTATCTTTTGAAAAGTTGTTTCTTTTCCATGTGATTTTAATATCCCAAATTCCTATGAGTCAGAGAATAGCAGAGGTAGGCCTGTACATTCATATTGATGTACTGGCAACAGATATTTTAAGTATCATTTATTAAAAATACCCAATACCAAAAATTATCCTCTTTCAAAAAAAGATGAGGAGAAATTTTTAGCTAGAAAAGGAGGAGAAATGTTTTAACACTTCCTTCTATTTATGTGGGAATTAATCTAACCTGTGAGGTTAAAAAAAAACCCCAGAACACAGGCTTTTACAATTTTACTAGCTTTAGTTTCCCTTATGCCTTTTTTAGATTTCTGAGACAGGAAATCTTACAGTATTTAAATTAAATTATCAATACATTTGTGCTCTAAGCTACAAAGGATTGGAGAAAGTTGCTGGTAATTTTTATGAGTTTTATTGTCATCATCTTTTAACTCTGGAATTGTATATATCACTGTTTGCTATTGGCCTTCCTCAGACATCAATATTACAAGTTCTAGATTTTCCCACTATGACGTTTTTCTCATTCCATGTTTTGGTCTGCTACTTTCTGTACTGATATTTTTATTAGAATGTCTTGGTTATGGCAAGGTGATTGCCAACTCTGTTGCAATCGTTTCACTCATTTAGGTTTGTTGTTTGGTTTTTATCTCCATGGAAGTTAGATAAATCTTTCTTTGGTTTTGCATTCCTGAAAAGAAATAAATTAGTTTTGAATTCAGTCAGATTTAGTTGTATTAATTTTATGTTGAAATGAGTAGACCTTGTATGAGCAGCTTATGGTCCTGTTTGTGTCAAATAGAAGCTAAGTATAAGGCTGGCTTAAAAAAACCCAGATAACATTAATCTTTGCTGTGCTATCCTGGAAAGCCTATCTACTAAAATTATTAATCTTTTTGCTTATGAGGGGCTGGCCACCTGCATCCTCAGAAATCCGTCAGAACTGATCATTGAAAGGGAACTGTGCATTGTCACTTGGACTTATATCCATGAAGACAAGTAATTTTTTTTCCTGCAGCTGGTCAGATTTGTCTTTAAAATATGCCATGCACCCTTTTTAACATTCTTCTCTTGGTGAAGAAAGTAGTAAACAAATCAGTAGCTCAGCCAAGTTGTGAAGCATCTCAGGATGGAGGACCAGGATACATTTGTCTGAGGAGACCCAAACCCCGACTTGTGGTGTCAGTCTGAATTGGGCAGCAGAGACCAAGCCCTGCTCTGGGGTTCATCACCTGATAAACGACTCTGATTGATCCTAAGCAGCAAACATGCTTAGCACCTGAGCCATGGGCAGTAGCATGGACAGAAAGCACATACACAGCCAGTGGGACACTGGGAATTTCATCCTTCCTGGGTCTGCCTTCACCTTGCTAGGTAGGCATAGGTTTGGCTCTTCTTTCCAAGGCAGATTGTATGCACAAGTCAGACTGTCTCCAAGCTGTTCTACTGGATATGAGAGGGAATTGTATTGCATGAAGAGGGTGGAAGAGTCTTGCCTTTCCTTTCAGCAGGCTGAGTGATCAGAACGCCTGGGCTGTGCCCTCATGTGGTGCAGACTGGTTCCTAGGGCTAGGATGAGGGATAATTTGGCTGTTGGCCATGGATGTACCTGTTAATATATTGCTCAGGAACCTTAAGGGAATCCTCAGGTAGCATGCCCTGTCTGCTTTAAGAAGGAAAAGAAATTCCACCAAAGTGGAATTGCTTTAAGCACATGGGATTACTTGAAGACCAGTACTTGGTTATCCGTGTTTTCATGCAGTGTTTTGGCTTTTTTGTACAGGGAACCATGGTAGGCTCCAGTATGGCTGCATCTCAACACAGGTGTCAAAACTATTTCTACCAGGCAGATAATTCCAGCACATCTTTCCTTTTTCTAGACAATCATGCATTGAGTCCCCTTGCCTCTTCTCCCCATTCCTGAAGAACTGTAGAAAGCTGTTATTATAGATCTTTTCCACCACAATGGTGCATCCTACCTGCTTCCTCTGCAGCAGCTGTCCCTATTGATTAATAGAGGAGAAGGTTGAAATCTGACTTCAAATGTGGGCTGATGGGGTAAGATAAATTACTTATGTGGAGAGGGAAGCAGAACTGAACTGATGTGGAGTGAAATAAAATTAGTAAATCACAATTGCAATGCTAGTGCAGACATCTGAGCTACCTGTGAACCTGCAGGTTTGTCATCACTCCAGTAACTGTTTTTTAGCCTTTCTATGCTGTCCTGACTTATTTGAGGTAGCTTTAAAGCAGGGGAGCTTGATTACAGAAGTCCAGTGGCTGCAGCATGAAACATGGATTGATTTATTGTGCTAACACATCCCACACTGTGTCAGCTGTGGTGACAGGATTCTCTGACTGCTGAGATAATGTACATTTGCCAATAATTGCTGGACTGTGGGAGTGTTATTTAGTTGCAAAACTAAGTATGCAAAAATGGGGAAATACTAATCCCATAGCATATATTTATGATAGACTTTAATTATGGTATCAGATTCTGTAGTTTGCACAGAATACCTGGCTGGTACTTGTTGTAATATTAGCATATTAATCAGAGGGTTTTCCTTTATATTGAATGAGAATGCATCAAACATTTAATGCCTAAGGCAGTTGATGTTCATTCAGGGGATATTATTTATGCTGGTAATGGCTAGAATCTTTTTTTATCTTCATATTTAATGTATGTCTCTAGGCTTTCTTCATTGCACATCTGCCAGATCCTGCACTGAATGCAGAATGATTAATTTCCTCATAGGCCTTTCTGTGCTCTTTCTCACTGTGGTATCTGAGTGCTCTGCAAATACAGTATTAATGAATTTCTTTTACAACATCCCTGTTAGGTGAGGTTTCTTGCTGTTTCTATCTCTTGGGGACAACCAATGATTATTAATGGCAACAAAGGCACCAGAAGCCAGATAAGAGCATTTGTTTTCTATAGGCACAATTAAAATTTTAAAAAGTATATTAGTAATTAAAGAAAAATAATCACATGTAAGTTTTCCCCGCTCATGTTGTCAAAATTATTACTGAACAGACTATAAACTGTGATGATATTTTATAGGATATATGTATATCCATACTATACATATCTCTCTATGACTCTCTTGTGAAAGGTAGGTCTGTCTTTAGACAAAATTTGTCTCATTGTGTAAACAAACATGTTCTTCTTTATCCTTTTTGTACTGTGACAGTAGCTTATTAATGCTTGTTTTCATGGTTATTGTTTTAGCCTTTTCTCAGCTGGGGCTCAGTCTACTAGACTGAAGTGTTTCTTGTAACCCTCCCCCTCCTTTCACATAATTATGTACCAGTCTTTGTTCATCAGTAACATTTGAATAGCACTGTCTCAAATTAGCAGGTTGTTGTATTATTTCTCACGTGTACAGAATCTAAATCCCTTACTAATTGCTATCTTATTTTAGCTGATAGTGTTCATGCTTTTTAAGACATACCAATGGATTTTCCTACTTCAATTTGCATTGCTTCCTTTATTTTCAATTTCTTTTTTTCCCAGTACTCCTTTTTTATGAAGCATTTTTCATATATTTGCAAGGAATATTTTGTCTTTTGTCAGTGGTGGCTGAGGCAGATAAGAAAAGAGGAGTCTGTCCATGTCACAGTGTGATTTTAGGAAAAAATATCTTCTAAGTCCTTTTAGTAATCACTTTTATGTATTAGCAAGGAAACCAGAGAATAATAGGAAGTCATTGTCATAGGCAGGATCCAATCACTAGATCACATGTGCAGCTGTTATTTAGTGAGCA